TCATCATCATCATCATCATCATCATCATCATCATCATCATCATCATCATCATCATCATCATCATCATCATCATCATCATCATCATCATCATCATCATCAGCAGCATCATCAACACCACCATCATCATTGTCATCATTATCATCTCATCATCATCAGCATCATCAGCATGGGCATCATCATCATCATCATTATCAGCATCAGGCCCATCATCATCATCATCATCATCATCAGCATCAGCATCATCATCATCATCATCATCATCATCATCATCATCATCATCATCATCATCATCATCGTCGTCATCATCAATACGTTCGCCAACGTCCTTCTCCCCCTCTTTCTCCGATCCTTCCCTCTCTCCCCATCCATCCTCATCCCTCCTCCATCATCATCATCATCATCATCATCATCATCATCATCATCATCATCATCATCATCATCATCATCATCATCATCATCCTCATCCTCATCCTCATCCTCATCCTCATCCTCATCATCGTCATCTTCATCGTCATCGTCATCGTCGTCAACGTCAACGTCAACGTCATCATCATCATCATCATCAGCTCTATCATCATCAGCATCATCAGCATCGGCATCAACATCATCATCCTCATCCTCATCTTCATCATCGTCATCGTCATCGTCATCGTCGTCATCATCGTCATCGTCATCATCATCAACATCATCATACTCATCAGCAGCAGCATCAACAGCATCCTCGCCCTCATCCTCATCATCTTTATCATCATCGTTTTCATCATTTGCAGCATCATCATCGTCATCATTATCAGCATCATCCTCATCACCATCAGCATTATCCTCATCCCTACGAACGCCAACGTCCTTATTCCCCTCTTTCCCAACTCCTTCCCTCTATCCCCATCCATCCCCATCCGTCCCCCATCACGTCCCGTCTCTTCGACTCCGATAGCCCCGCCTTCCCTCTTTCCGTCCTTCCTCATCCAGGCTGTACGTGTTCCACTGGGATGCAAGAAAATCTAAGATCTTGTCTCTGACTGCAGGCTCTGTCAACGACGGTACGGGTGCATGACATGTGGGACCGGGAGGAGCCAAACAACGTGAAGGATTAAGGCAGGCAAAAGGAAGGAGCGGAGGAGAAGGCGTGGCCAAAGCAGGGACAAGGACAGACTGGGGGAGGCAAATGAAAGGAAGAGAAAGGACTAGGACTAGGACACGGTGGCCTGACTGCGAAGAGGCAGGTCCAAGAAGCAAGGAAAAGGAGGGACACAAAAAGGAAAGGCGAAAGTCATGCGGGTGCTGCGAGGCCCGAGATCAGCAAGCCTCTCCCCTATCCTGACTGACCCCTACCTCCTCCGATCCTTCCCCTCTACCTTACGGTGTTCCGATCGGGAGGGAGGGAGGAGCGAGTATGCCAGACAGGCTAAATTCTGGCACGCTCTGTCTTGCTACTGCTTGCATACTCATCAAAGTCCCCCCCCCCCCATCCTAAGCTGCTGCCCTCTCTGGGGGGATTCAAGCCGCTCCTGGCCAACCGCCCTCTTTTTGGGGCTCGCCCTTGCAAGCTTACTCGTCCTTGTCTCTCCCCCTCCTCCACCTCCTCATCACATCATCATCATCATCATCATCATCATCATCATCATCATCATCATCATCATCATCATCATCAGCAGCAGCAGCATCATCATCAGCATCATCAGCACATCACCATCATCATCATCATCATCATCATCATCATCATCATCATCATCATCATCATGAGTATCAGTATCATTATCATCAGCATCATCATAATCCATCATCATAATCGTCGTGATCATCAGCATCATCAGCATCATCATGATCATCATCAGCAGCATCGGCATCACAAGCATCATAATCATCATCACCATCAGCATCATCATCATTACCATCCTCATCATCATCAGCATCATCGTCAGCATCATCATCATAATCATCATCAGCATCATCATCTGCGTCAACATAATCATCATCATCTTCATCATCATCGCCATTGTCATTATTGTCATCGTCATCGTCATTGTCGTCATCATGAGCAGCATCATCATCGTCGCCCTTCTCCAGAGTCCCCATCGCAAGCATCCGCGAGCTCTCACTACCTCTCTCGTACATCACCTCGCACACCTTCACTGGCAGACCCGGCGTGCTCTGCCTCGCCACTCCGCCCACGCCTGCGGGCAGCGAACCAGCAGCAGGACACCGAGGCTGGATTATCAGCGTCCCAGGAGGCGCCACTCCAGAGTATCTTCAGGTCCCACTCGTAAAACTCGCCGTTCGACCACTCGCTGCAAGCCGCCAGTATCCGCGTTAGGGCGGACCAGCAAATCCTCCCTTACCGAACGTTCGATCCCTGCCCCTGCCGCTCCCTCGTCGCTGACGATTGCGGCTTGAGAGCAGGCTCGGATGATCAGTCTGGCTTCACAGGACACATGCTCACAAAAGGTGCCCGGTGATTCACGGCAACGCTGCCTGTGCCAACAGACCAACCAAAGCAAGATCGAAGCTCAAGTCCAAACGTGACTGAAAGATGTCGCTCTGGCTATGCTGGCAAATATGATAATATTCATTCTGTTGTGTGAAAATCTAGCACTCCAACCACTCCTCGACAAACATGTCATCCACCAACTATCCTGTGCAGGCAAGCTCGCGTGACAGCCTCCAGGCACATGCAAACAATTCGCCGGTCCACCGGGCCAAGGGCGTGCTAGGATCTCCGGTAACTGGTTGACAATATTTCTAGTTCGCGCACGCGGGGCCGCCCCGGGGGGTCCCTGGACGAAAAGTACCCCCGCAAGTCCCGGCCAGGTCCCGGCCAGGTCCCGGGCGGAGCCCGACCAGGTCCCGGCGGGCTCTCAAGAGCGCTCTAGGAGCGCTTCAAGTGGCCTCCAAGAGAGCTCAACATGGTCCGAGACGGTCCAAGAGCGATCCAAGACGCCAAAGATTGCTTCCAGACAGCCCAAAGCGCCTTGAAGACGCCCCAAGAGGCCTCCAAAAGATCTTCCAAGAGGGCCCACAGAGGCAGAAATTAACGTTTTCCCTTCAGTTTCTGACGGTTTTTGGCGTTCCCGCCTTCTCGGCTTACCGGCGCTCCAAGACGGCCCAAGATGGCCCCAAGACAGCCCACGAGGTGCCGAAGACAGCCCAAGAGAGTCCAAAAACGGCACCAAGAGGGGCCCAAGAAGGGGACCAGGAACCGAAAAGTCCAGCCTTCAGCCCCAAGAGGCCCCGAGGAGGCCCCAAGAGGCCCCCGAGAGGCCCCGAGGGGCCTCCAAGAGGCACCTCAAGAAGCCCCAGGAGGCCCCCAAGAGGCCCCAAGAGGCCCCAACACGGCCCCCAAGAGGCCTCGAAACTGCCTCCCAAAGGCCCCTGAGAGGCCAACCACGAGAGCCCAACCAACATCCGTGAGGCCTCTGACCCGCCACCCACCGCCTCAGAAAAATAGCAGCCGCCCAACCGCACCGCATTGATAAACACCCCGACAAACGACAGCGGCGAGGCAATATGGGCCGGCGTAATGAGCGAAGCGATTACATAATTTCACATTGCGAGATGCAAGAGCGAGATGCTACTTGCAGCAACAGGCAGCATCAGTCAAATAATGATCCTCCCTCCCACGAGGCAGGCCTGCAGATACCGAGAGCTGACCATTCGATTGTGAAACAGCAACCTTAGCCAAAGGCTGCCGCCCACTGCTCCCAAGCGGCACCACGCAAGGACGGGGGCGTCCCAGCCAGCTCAGGCCCTGCCCGGCGCACGAGAAGAGGCGGCAGGGAGCGGCGACGGGGAAGGGCAGGAGTTGGGTGGAGACCGAGACGCTAGGATGTGCTTCACCACAAGGGCATGTGCTCCACTTGTTCTATCTCCTCTCTGTTCTGACCCATCCTAGCATACAGCGCACCCCTGGGGCCGCCCATCAAAAGCACAACATATCGTCGGATTGTCAGGGAAGGGGGAAGCGAAGTTCGGAGAGGGAAACGAACGAAGAGCGCGGCGGGAGGCAGGCAGGGCAGATAGGAAGGAGCACCGAGCTCTGTACATGTCCAGCGCCGCTTGCCAGGCCCATTCTGGGCCCAGAAGCGGCGTGTACGCCCCCCTGACTTGATCAGCGAGGCATCTACACCGATCCAGAAGCGGTGGGGATGTGCAAATCTCGCAGGGACAGACAACACAAGAACAACGCGGTGCAAGGCAGGCAAGCCTGAGCCGGATCGAACCGCGAAATCAGATCGGAGCATAACCGGATCAGATCGACAGTCAATCGTCCCGAACCAAATCGAGATCGGATCGCAGGCCCGGCGCTCAGGCCAGCCTTGGCTGATGCTGGTGAAACGATGGGGGGCCGGGGCCCAGGGGCCCTTGGTCAGAATACCGCCCCCGCCCCCCCCGCCGCGGGGAGGTCCCGCCTTCAGGGTCGGCGGCACCGACCGTAAGGCCTTCGCAATCGAGATCGGATTGCGGGCCCCTGGCTCCGGCCAGCCTTGGCCGATGCTGGTGAAACGAGCCGAACCGAATCAAACAAATCGGAATCACGGGCCAAGCTGACGAATCGAACATCATCGAATCGATTTTAGGCGGCCCTGGCAGACAGGGCAGAGATAAGGGGACATCAGCGAAGAGCGAAATGGCTGAGGGACATTGTTGTGACAAAGAAAGCGCGATGGAAAGCCGGGCAGGTTGGGCGAGAGGGGGAAAGGTCAGGGTGAGGGAAGCGGATATTGCACATGAGCGCAGAATGGAGATGGGAGCGGCAACAACAAAATCCTGAAGCGGGCCGAAGAGAGGGGTGATGCAAGAGGTATGAATGAAGGGGACGGCCATCGCAGACGGAAGATGGCAAAGACCATCAGAATGGAAGGCATGAGCGCGGAAACGAGGTGAGTGGAAGGTGCCGCGGGCAAGAGCTGGGAGAATCCAGAAGGAAAGATGGACACAGAAGCCGCGCCCGCCGCGCCTGCTGCCTTCCAGGAAGGTGCCAGCCAAAGCTGCCCGTCGCGGGGCTACAGCTTGCCCGCCTTTTGCAGAAACTGGAACACCTCCTGGGGTGGGCCCTCCCTTTTGTCACCCCTCCATCGACAACAGCTTTGGACGCCCGGCATTAGTGCAGAAAAAATGGGCGCGATGCCCAACAGCAAATGTTGTCCAAAATCGACAGCGGCCGCTGTTGAGCAAGCGGCCTGCTGTCCGAATGGACCACGCCCGCGGCAGCAACGACAACGAACCCTCTTCAAAGTGGGCAGGAACCGATGTTCAGTTTTCTGGCTGGCGACATCCGAACCCTGACCCCACCAACCATCGATTCTCCTGCATCGATGGAAAGCGGGGGTGGGTCTCGGATTTCGCCGCGTGCTTGACAAGAACCCGACCCCCGCCGCCCATCGAGCTGCCCGAATCTTTGATCGGCGAAGGTAGGGCTCGGGTTTCGACGCCGACCTTCCTTCCCAGCCTTTCCGTGGCAAAAAGCAGCGACCAGGACTAGCCGAGGACGGCGGCGCACTGGCGACACGCGCCCAAGACAGAAGATCCAGAGTCGCCGCGAGGGGGCCCGGCCCTGCGGCTGGCGAGCGGGCACCCCTGGCACGCGCGGCAGTAACGCCAGGGGCGCGCGCCCGACCCCCTGGGGTGGGCCCGCTCTCTGCGCGAGGCCCCGCGGTCGGCTGGAGGGCGGCGAGAGCTACGACTGCGCCCAGGGAGGCCCGCCGCTCCCCCTGGAGCCTCGTCGGCCTCCTCGTGTTTTTTAACGCTGGGCGAACTGACGCCACGGAGCTGAAGCGTTCTTTCCTCCTCCTGCACCTCCTGCTCCTCCTGCTCCTCCTGCTCCTCCTCCTCCTCCTCCTCCTCCTCCTCCTCCTCCTCCTCCTCCTTTTCCTCTTCCTCCTATTACTTCTATTCCCCCTATTCCTCCTATTCCTCCTGTTTCTCCTATTCCTCCTATTCTTCCTATACCTCCTATACCTCCTATTCCTCTTATTCCTCCTATTCCTCCTGCTCCTCCTATTCCTTCTATTTATCCTATTCCACCTCTTCTTCATCCTCCTCCTCCTCCTCCTCCTCCTCCTCTTCCTGTTCCTCCTCCTCCTCCTCCTCCTGCTCCTCCTCCTCTTCCTCCTTGTCCTCCTCCTGGTCCTTTTGTCGTGCTCCTGCCACGTTTGTTTGGCTTCAACGTCGTGCACCAGTGCAAACACAGGGCGGTGCCATACGAGACGCCATGGCAGAGCCACGAAAATAGCTGTGCAACTGCCCCTCCCCGTAAGCCTCGAAGCCCCGCACGGGGTGCGGGAGCAGGGGTGCTTGACACGCGCGCGCGCGCGCCACACAGGGGCTGCACACGACAAGCCGAACGAGCGCGCATGCCTGCAAGTCAAGACGGTTTGGGGCGGGTGTGGCAGGGCATCGAGGTGAGCCCTGCCCCAGACCCCAACCAGGGAGAAAGGAACGCTGTGAGGCCTCTGTTCTCGCAAACAACGAAAGCCTACAACATGACAACCGTCTGGTCTTGTGAACTGCGAGAACACAACGAGAACTTACATACTATCTGTCTTTGCTTAAATTCAAACCTGGGCGGAGTGACCATGGGCCGCTCGGAAGGCCCAGGGCACTCTCAGGCAGGAGAAGGAAAACAAGAAAAACATAAAACATATGAAACGAGGACAATAGAAGGAAACCGGTGACTGTCAGCGTTTTTGTTAGTTGTGCCAGTAAAAATGGCGTCACTCACGCGTTTTCTCTAGATTTCCGATGTCCCAATGTGAAGACACATGTGTTTTCAAGTGTTTCATGGTTGGCATGCTTTCCTGGTTAGCTTCAGCAGTCCCACGGCGCCGCCACCACAGTTCCCCACAATTACACTCAATTTTGAAAGACTCAAAATCGAATTCAATGCGTAAACCCTCACACTTGAAATCAAACTGAAACATTCACAATCAGATGCAAGTGTATGTTGATTGTACGAGGTGGGGTCCAAAGGCAGCGCCACGGAGCCACAGAAATCTACCAGGGAAAGCAAGAAACATGAAAAACATGTAAAAACAATTGTTTCCACATGGAACATGGGAAGAATTGCCATGGAAACTGGTTTGGCAGAGACCCTGTGCTGGGAAGCGGGCATTTCGAAACAGCAGTTGGTCTCAACCACCATCCCTCGCTTCTCAGGATGCTTACCCGACGCGATCTTTCCCCAGTTGCGGCTGCCCGTCACGATGGGTGGCGCGCACAACGCTCTGAGCCCTTTGACTTGGGCCCCCGAACTGTAGAAGCGGCACAGCACGCGCGCGAAGACCCCAAAAAAAAACTGGAGCAGGCCAGAGCGACGACTTTGTGGCCCAAGCGTTCCATCACGGCGGGGCCTAGACGAAAGCGGCCCCTGCAACTGGTGCCCTTTGGGCGCTCCGCCCCCAGAGAACACCTCAAGCAAACTCTACGAAGCCAGACTCCGGCGATCTTCTCCCGCTGGCGCTGCAGCCGCGGAGCGGCAGGGGCGCGAGGGGGGGGCCCCCGCCCCGCCCCAGGGAATTCTACCCGAGGCCACAATGGAAGAACGGCAGCACCAACAGCGACAACAGCCACGGCAACCTTTTTTCCAATCGCTCTTCAATGGCAGCGGCGTCGAAAACGGGATGCCCCGCCACGGCTGTGCCCCAGCGCCAACCAGCTCGTCGACTAGACGGCTGAATCTCTCGCCCAAGAAATCCCCGCCTCGCCGGAGCCCCTGATGAGCGTCGACTTTGGCCAAGAACTTGAGACGGCCTTCGACCCGAGTCTTCCCCTGAAGCAAAATGGCCCGACGAAAATTGTTTGGGGGGCTCGCGCGAACCGAGGCCTTCGGAACGCCGCGGGCAGAAGGGGGCCAGGCGGGAGCAGAGACCTCGCGCGGGAGGGAAGCCCGAGAGTCGACCATTGCTAAACACCACGCAGCACGGCACGGCTAGGCCACGGGATGACGAACGCAAAACCCATCTACAAATGGCCGCCCCCAGAAGACCCCGAGGTCAGGAGAGGTGGCAGACGGCCCCAAACCCCCAGGAACCAAAATCTCGGAAACGCACCAGTGGACCTGAGTCCTCCCGCCCGAATAAGGCCCAGCAAATAGTCACCAGGATGACGGAAGGCCCCAAACATCCAAATACTCCATTCGTAATCGCCGGATCCAATGTTCAACGAAACCACGACAATATCTGTTTCTACTTTCTACTGTTTCAGCGCGCACTCCAGCGCCGGCGGGACACCCCCACATGCGATGCCAAATGGCATCTGGGCCGCCTCCGCAGGGGGTGCAACAATCTTGAACCTGCCACCCTGCGAGTCGAGCTGAAGCGGACGCCCAGATAGCGCCGCGCGAGAAAGCTCGCACCGTAGAGCGGCCCTTGTGGCAAACGCGCTTAGACTTGAGTTTGGAGACGACAGCGCCCCGGCATAACCAGTGCTCAATCCCCAGTTGTCTCCCCGTCAGACGCTCCAGACCACGAAGCCCGGCAGCGCGGCGCAGCGAGGCTACCAGCCTCGGAGACAGCTAGAGCAACTGCAACGTCTCCCCTGGGTGAGTGGAAATGCGCAACGCAGAAGTCGGATTTTGGACCTTGGACCAGGACCACTCATCCCTAGCGAAAGTGGCGCCCCAGCGGCGCATTCCTGAAAACTTTAGCGCCCCTTTTAAAAGCACGAGTCTGCGCGGGCCAAAATTCTACGCGCCATCTGACAATCGGCGCGCCACTGGCGCGCCACGCAGGGCCACCTTCAACAAGGGGGAAGACGGCGAGGGAACGGCGCTGAGACTTGGGTGCGAGGCGAATTCTCATGCACCAAAACCGCGCGAACAACAAATACAAAAATGGCTGGAAGCAGGGTCGCGCCAGACTAGGCCACGGCCCCGCGGCAGACCGGGGCGCGGCGCGGAGGGCGGGCGCCGAGGCGGGGGCGTGCCAGAAGCAGGAACAGCACTTCTTGGTGGTGGCATAGAGAAGCCGCTCCTCCTTGGAACCCGCATTGCACGCGCCGCCGCCGCGCGAACGCCGATGAATTCTGCCCTGGCCCTCGGCGCTGAGGAGGCGCCCCGTTGCCGCCTGCGGCGGGAAGGGGGCCGCGGACTGTCCGCCTGAGCAAAACTGCGCCAGCTGGATCGCGCATGTTTACAGACGTTTACAGATCTTGGCGGCGGCGGCGATGCATGGCGCTCGCGCTGGGGGAGATGGCGGACACGGCCCTGCCGCGAAAGGCACGCAGCTCGCGGCCCGACGCGCCGGGAACTTCCGAGACGCGCATAGCTCCAACCAGGGGCCCCGAACAGGAGATTGCAAGACAAACCCCTCCCCGAGGCCCAAGGCGACCCTCTGCCCGCGGGGCCTCTTGGTTTGTCTGTGGAGCTCGGCCTGAGGGGCCTTCATCTTGGCGGTGCTCCTCTATTAGAACTTGAGTCGAAGCGCGCAGAGATCGCCCAGCAGCGCAATCAATCCCACGCTGGCCACCGATGGGGGAAGGCTGTCCCGCCATGGGGCCCAGCCCCTGTTCCAGCTGAACTGCACTCGCGCGATGGCTACGCGCGCAGCCGAACTTATCTAGAGCGAGCGCGCAGCCCAAAACCTCCGCGAAATCGAGCTGGCGGCCGACGCTAGGTGGCCAGGGCCTCGACGACCTCCGAAGCAGACCCGGCGCGAGACAATCCCGCGCCATCCGCACGCGCGTCGACGCCGGCGCCGACCCCGAGGGGGGCCGTCGAAAACCTCGAGCGCGAACGCCTCGATAAACGACGCGGCCATAGAGCAGCCGGCGACCGGCCCAGAGCACAGACAGAAAGGGCCCTCGACGATGCCCCCCGCGGTGCGAAACCCGCGGGAACGGGCGGCCTGAAATGCAAATGGAAAATCCCAGCTGGCTACACTGACCCCTGGGATAATCCAGAGAGAGACGCTGTCATAATATTTCTGAGTTTCGGAAAATCGAATGAGACCGATCCTGAAGCAGTGCCCTGCGCCACCCCCGCCTCGGCCCTAAAGCATCGCATCCAAACGAGGCGGGCGCGACGATCGGGCGGAGGACAACCCTC